AAGAGTGGCATTCAGGCTGATGTTGGGAATGTGCATGATTCTTGGGAGCCAGAACACAGGAAGCTTCCTTATACTGAATCAAGACTGTTGATCCATCTAGTTCAATATTGTCAACACTGACTGACAGCGGCTCTCCAGGGTTTCAGGCTGGATCGTGCCCAGTGTCCAAAGAAGAGCATTGGAAAAGGGAGCTTTTGACTTGTACTTCTAGAGCAGCAGCTCCTCCATCCTGATGTCTCATGCTATATAGCATGGGTAGGCAAATGAAGGCTCGGGGGCTGGATGTGGCCCAATCGCCTTCTCAATCCGGCCTGCGGACGGTCCGGGAATCAGTGTGTTTTTACATGAGTAGAATGTGTCCTTTTATTTAAAATGCATCTCTGGGTTATATGTGGGGCATAGGAATTCATTCATTTCCCCCCCCAAAAAATATAGTCTGGCCTCGCACAAGGTCTGAGGGACAGTGGACTGACCCCCTGCTGAAAAAGCTTGCTGATGCCTGCTATATAGCAATGGTTCCCAAAAAAGCCAAGCCATGGACCACCTACTTTTGAAAAAGGTTAGTCTCTCTGTGGTAGTTTTTGTTGGGTGAATGGTGCCACCATACCCTCCAGCGAGGCCCAGTGCAAATCTGGGACGTGCATCTTTCAGGCTGCGCCCTTGCATGAGTCGTGGCCCCCCAAAATGGGACGTCCTGGGCAGTTGATGGGTATTAGACCCCCAGTTGGGAACCATTGCCATATAGCAGTGAAAGGGCTTTTAAAATGCAGTGTTTGATGTATCATTGGGGTCTGATATTTAAAGGGGAAAAAACCCTGCTCGATTATTCCCAGGCTCTAGGGTGCACCTGAAGCAGAAGATTGGATCTTTGTAAGGACAGCTGAGATTATCTACTAATGCGTATAAATAGTGGTCCGACTGTTGGTCTCTTTGGGGCGGTGTGGGGGGGAGTATTCAGCAAATCCTTTTGGATTGCACAGCCTTTCCTGCGAAAGAGCTGAAATTCCTAGAAAGAGTTCCTCATCCATGTCTGGCAGACGTGGGCGACTTGTGCATCCCTGAGCACAACAGTAGATTCCATGTTGCTTTTTCATTTCGGAGGAGCTGTTACATCTGGGCCTCTGGAGATGGAAAGGTAGAAACCCCGAGATCCCTTGCGTGCAGAGAGATTCCTCGGGATTCGAGTCTGCCGAAGCTTATGGCTGAGCAGTCTTAATTACTCTGCGGGTTGATGTCTGCTCTTATTATAGCTCAGCTTCGACATCTGGGCTGGAGGAAAAGCCCCGACCGCTGCAAGGAAGCGGCGTTCTACATTTGCCTCTTCCTTCTGTCCAAAAGGAGCAGGTCCTGCCAGGTTGCCTGGGAGGCAGGCAGTAGGACCCAGGAAGCTGCCATATATGAATCAGTATATCAATCCACCTAAATCCATATTGTCTTTATTGATGGCGTCTTTCCAGCATTCCAGGCAGGGGCCATTCTCAGCCCTGCTTGGAGACGATGGGGATTGAACCCGGAACCTTCGGTGTGCAAATCAGATTCTCTACTTCTGAGCTGCAGTCCTTCAGATTAGTCAGCCGATGACAGCAATTATATTAGCTGATGGACTGATAGCAAATTTTTGTGCCAGTAAAAACAATAAGCTTTTGTGGTATAGGTGTGGTGTAAAAAGCACGCTCCTGAGAGGTCTTCTCGTCGTTCTTTCTCATGCACAAGGTGATGTCTCTTCCAAGATAGTCCTTGCAATCCGAAGCCTTTTAATTGTGCAAATTTTTATTTTAAATAAAGCTAATGCTCATTTAACCAGGACACCTTATTCCAGTACAGTCATACCTCAGAATGAATACGCTTTGGGTTAGGCAAATTCAGATTGCGCTCAGCGGTGACCCGGAAGTAACGGAGCGTGTTACTTTTGGGTTTCGCCGCGTGCGCATGCGCAGACCGTCAAAATGACATCACGCGCATGCGCAGAAGCGCCAAAACGTGATCCACGCATGCGCAGACGCGCAGACAGGGGTTGTGTTCGCTTTGGGATGCGAACAGGGCTCCGGAATGGATCCCGTTCGCATCCTGAGGTACCACTGTATGTTAAAAGTTTTAGGTGGTTTTTTTTAAAAAAAAATTAATAATCTATTTATCCGATTGATTTTTAAAAGATGCAATCCTCTAGGCATTAAGAAGTAAGCTTGAGATTTTGATTATCTGAAGCATCATTCTGGCTAGTTAAGAAGAGTGAATATAACCCATGGTGCAGTGTAACTCACTAGTGTTTGTGGTAGCTGTGAGCTAGGGCAATTCTAGGAGCAGGAACCCTATCTGCCTTCAAGAGTTGGCTGTTTGAGGAAAGTTGTTTTTGGAGACTCTCCCCTCGCTAGGTTGGCTGTGATAAGTTACAGCCTGAAATAGACGAGGCGGCATTTGCACGCTTTTCCGATTCTCGTTGTTTGCGGGGGTCAGAAGAATGGTTAGCTCCGGAGCCAACCATTTCTCCCCCTGACTGCTGCCCTTCGGCTAACAGATGATGGGAATTGTCATCCAGCAACATCTGGGGACCTAAGGTTGAGGAAGCCTGCTTTATATGATCATTGGGACCCTTGCAAGATTTGTAACTTTCTTGAGGGGAGACCAAAGGAATTGAGAGTTGTGAAAGCTTTGCCCCATGTGTTCAGCTCTGTCAGTCTTGCAGAAATAAAGGAAGACAGCATCCTTTCCATTAATAATTCATATCTTTACTTCTCCATTTTACAGATCTTTTTTTTAATCCTCTGCCTTCCATTGTTGAATCAGCCTTATTGCAGATGGCTAAGTGCCTCTTCCTTCCTAATAGCTGCAGTGCTTCCCCCACCTCTTCTGTCAACCTAGCTGTGATCTTGAAATCTGGAGAAGACTGTCAATTATTCAAGGTTGTTTCATGCATCTCCTGCCTTTCTTTCGAGAAGCTCGTGCCGGAGTATGTGGTCATCCCTCCCACCGTAGAAGAAATCAGGCCTGGAAGGAGCAAATAGGTTGTGGTGTGTGCTTCGTTGAGGAGCGCATGCGTGGCACCCACAACAGCGCCTCTGGTTTACAAACACGCCCATGGGCCCAAAAATGTTGGTGGCCGTGGGATCGTGGGAAGTGTAGTTTGTTAAAGTTGAAGAGATTTGTGCATCTGAAGGCAGCCCTGTTTAGGGAAGCTTTTAATGTTTAATAGATTATTGTATTTTAATGCTCTATTGGAAGCTGCCCAGAGTGGCTGGGGAAACCCAGCCAGATGGGCGGGGTATAAATATTTATTATTATTATTATTATTATTATTATTATTATTATTATTAGACTCCCCTAATCCTCTCACAGAGCTACAATTATCAGAGTGGTTTAAGAGTCTGAGAATTGTTCCCAGGGGATTCTGGGAACTGTAGCCCTGTGAGGGGAATGGGGGAGTTAACTCCCCAACTCTCAGTACCTTGAGCAAACTACGCTTCCCAGAATCCTTTGGGTGAAGCGATTAGTGTTTTAAGTTGTGTTATACTGCTTTAAAGGTACAGGCCAGATGGGGCTTGGTTGCAGCACATCACCAACTTCTCTGAAAGGAGCTAGTGTTGGTACTTGTAGAGCAGATGTCTCACTGGCTGGTTAAAAGCTCACCTGTTCACATGGGCGTCCCCAGCCACTTGACCCTTAGTATAAATCCTTGGTGGGAAATCTGTCTGTGTATATTATTATTTTTATCATTATTTTATCGTATTGGTTTTGTTTTGTAAACAACCTTGCTTGTTTTGTTTTAAAGTCTGCTTCTTCTAAGTTCTTAGCACCTCAAAGGAAAATTGGATAGAAACAGTAAAAAAAAAAACAAAAAACCAATAGAAGAGAACAGTATCATAAAGAATCCAAGCACCATACATCGTATATGTTAATAGCAACCTTAGTTCTTGGCAGGCGCTTCTCTTTATGGAGCCAAAATGGCACCACTCTTGACATGAAGGAGGTGTTGGCATGTGAGGAGATGGGAAGGCAAGATTTGCAGAAGTATATGAGTGGGGAATCTAATGTGGGGGGAGTGGGAAATAGTTGTGCTCATACTGGGATATGAATGAAATGGGAAACTGGAAGGGGGAAAGGGGGAAATGCAATGGAGTATTTGGGTAACAAGCCGGCCTCTTGCACAGCAGCACTGGACACTGCAACACTTTGTTGCAGCCACACACACCTCGCACAGAACATTTCCAAATGAGCGGAATTGAAATATGCATAATCTCGGCACCATATTTTTAGAATTCTGTCTCTGTTCTTCTCGACTTGCATTCTTCGTCCAGATTTCTCCACCTTCAAAGACTCAGATGAATTTTCTCCCTCAGTTTATATAATAGGGTTGCCATACATTTGGAATTTCCCAGACACAGCTGGGATTCGACCACCAGTGTCCGGGTGTATCTCATTTCTTGCGATTTTGCCAAGAAGCTCAACAGCTTTGCCCCAAAAAGGCTCAACAACTTTTCTGTCCGGATTTTCGCTTTTTGAAATATGGCAACCCTACCCTAGGAGTTGGCTCCTATGCTTCTTAATATACTAGTTTTTCTGCATCCGGGGATCCTTTTTTAAAACACTGTTGAGCCTTCAGACATGCAGCAGCCTACCTGCAACTTGGAGCACTGGAGCAGGCTTTCCCAAACATGGGTCTCCCAGCTGTTTTGCGGCTACAGTTCCCATCATCCCTGACGGCTGGTTCTGCTAGCTAAGGATGCTGGGAGTTGTAGTCCAAGTCTGGAGACAACCCTGCACTGGAGTGTAGCAAGGGCTGTGTCTTGTGTTTTGTGCTGACTCTGCAACTCAGCTCTTACGGCCAGTTCCCGACCCCTTCACTTGCTTGCCATGACTGGTTCATCTTACACATGTCTTGAGCACTCTGCCCCCAAACTGGGCACTCCACTACTTCTTCATAGAGCACTCAGCACATGGTTTTTGAAAGAAAAAAACCCAATAGTAACAGCAGTTTTCTCTTTCTCCCCCACCCCCTTCTTTAGAAAGAAATTCAAGCCATGAGTCAGTGCCATCATCCGAACATCGTATCTTACTATACTTCCTTCGTAGTGAAAGATGAACTCTGGTTAGTGATGAAGCTTCTCAGTGGAGGTAAGTATAAGGTTATTAGGTGTGTCTGTGTGTGCTCTCAGGTTGTTTTGGTTCTAGTCTAGTAAAAGGGACTTTCAAAACATTCAAAGAGGTATTTTTGTTTCTAACACTGAGTAGCAATTTTGACTTTTTAAAAATAAAGCATATCCTACCCTATTTCAAAAAGGCATCTAAATAGAGCTTTAAAAGATAATCTGATAATTTTAATTGCCAGATTTTATTTATTTTAACCTGAGTGATTCCCAAATACAGTTGCTTGGCTCTCATTTAATGGCAAAGCCATAGCTAGGGTTGGACGATACCTGGTTTTCAACATCGTGATATATCACTAGCTAAACATCGTGTTATACTGATGTTTCAGACAGGATGGAGCTATGTAGAGGCATTGGCTGGCTTCACGGTTTTTCCTGCGTTGTCATTTTTGCATAGCACACAAACACATCATGATTCACAACATATTGCCAGGTCAAAAGTTATGAAACTGATATCACATGATGGACTTCAAACCGGCTTTGGACGATATATCGACATAACACTCATCCCTAGTCATAACTTGGGTATCCTCGAAAGATTCCATCAATGGTGTCTCTGAAAAATTTGACACATCACTTGGGAAGACAGACAAACTAATATCAGTGTACTGGAAGAAGCAAAGATCACCAGTATTGAAGCAATGATTCTTCAACATCAACTTTGTTGGACTGGTCACGTGTGGATGCCTGATGATCATCTTCCAAAGCAACTACTCTATTCCGAACTTAAAAATGGAATGGAACTTAAAAAAAAATGCTGGTGGTCAACAAAAAAGGTTTAAAGACTCTCTCAAGGCAAATCTAAAAAAAATGTAGTATAAACACCGCCAACTGGGAAACACTGGCCTGCGAGTGCTCCAGTTGGAGAACAGCCTTTACCAAAGGTGTCATGGGCTTTGAAGACCCTCGAACTCGGGATGCAAGGGAGAAACGTGGTAAGAGGGAGGCATGCTTGGCAAATCCACACCGTGATCAACTCCCACCCAGAAACCAATGTCCCCACTGTGGAAGGACGTGTGGCTCCAGAATTGGCCTCCACAGTCACTTACAGACTCATTGTTAAAACCGTGTTTATGGAAGACTATCTTACTTGGCTAGGAGTGATTGCCAAAGAAGAAGAAAGATCATGATTATTTTGCCTGAGGCCTGCAAACTTTCCATGAGACTTGGAGGTTCCTTCACTTCCTAGTTTGGCACACTATAGTTTGTTTTGGCATCCATAATGGACAAATTGTAGCTTGCCTATTAACTAGACTTAGAAACAAACTATGGGTTGCGCCAAAGTTTGACCTAATTGGATGTCATAAAGTATGGTTTACCTTAACCAGGAAGTGATTTGAAAATGTGTGAATGCAGTGAATGGCCACAGCTACATGGTACGAGGACCCCTTATTTGAGCAGAACTTCTGTTCTTGCTCCTCCCATCCACCCCTGACACTAGCAGTCCCGTAACCCTCAGGAATGGCTCTTGGCAGAGGAGGGAGCAGTTGGTTCTAGCAGGAAAATGGAGAGGTTGCAAAGCCCTGTTTGAACACAACTTCTCCAGATGCTCTTTGGATCTAGGCCAATTACCTTTATTTTTTTGGTAGAAATTAAAAGGATGGCTTGTATTCACTTGCAGACATTAATAATACCTTAGCTAAACCTACCCACTCAACCCTGCCAGAGACATCTTGTGAAAATAGCAGGAATATTAATAGATTACTTGATAATCCAGAAAAGCTTGAGGGAAGGTGACTGAGGAGGGAGAATCTGTTTCACCTGGTTGGGGTGAGGGGACCTGATGCTCTTCCATACCTGACTTTTCTTCACATCTTTAAAGGATGAAGAAAGCAGGGTAGGGTGGCGATTTCAAGAACCACTTTTTAATTTTGGTAGACTACCTGTTTCTTGGTATGCATTTAAACTTGAGTTGCTAAAAGGCACAAGTTTAGTTGGCGAAAACGGCCTCAATCAGTTGGCAGCCCTATTCTTGGACCCTCTTTCTTTCTTTTGTTGCTGCTTTGGTGTTCAGACCTGTTGCTTGGGATCCTCGGTGTAGCTGCAATTTGTCAGGATTCCCATGAGGTTGGGCTGGCAGCCTCCCCGCATGCAGCAACTTCAGATTCTATCTCCCTTTTCTGAGGAACGTTGCTGCCTGTCTTCGGAGAGAGTGCAGTTCTTAGTTACGCACGCAAGGCTCTTCCAGCATGTGTCATAAATCAGCTCTTTATTGACCTTTTCCTCTCCCTTAATTATCTCGTTAAGTCTCTTTTACCTGGCATTTGAAGAGGGAGGGGTAAAAGAAGGGAAGGGAAAGGTTCTTGAGTGATGACTGTGCGTCTTTCATCTCTCTCTCTCTCTCTCTCTCTCTCTCTCTCTGTTTCTCCCTCCTGCTGTAAAACTCTAATGCCTAGCAATGAGGAACACCAATTGATTCCTTTAGAATTTGTGTTCAAGCCGGTCATTTCCATCTCACCCTACTTTGCGTTGACTTGTCTGCTGAGGAACCTTTGTCCTTGACAGACAACTTCTTGATGGTAGGGCAGTCTGACAATGGACCGATTAACCTGATGGGGTCGGTAGGCTTTCCCTCCCTGGTGGTCTTCAAGCAAAGGCTAGACAGCCAGCTGTTGGAGATGCTCAAGCTGTGGACCTCCTGCATCGAGCAAAGGGGTTGGGGAATGTGGCTTGCAAGCCATCCCCTCAACTCAGATTCTAATCCAGATATCCTTGAATATTAGTTTCTTCAGATCAGCTACTTTAAACTCGGCACATTTCCTGGTTTAAAAGTGATCTGTGTAGGAAATAGTGTGTAACTGGTGTGCAGGTTGAAGTGCAGTGGTCTACACATAAGTTTCATACTACATATTACATCAAAGTGCCTTCTGTGTAGGATTTTTGCTGCGTGTGAAACAGCCTTCAGCAAAGTGCTTGAGGAAGGGAGTTGTCTTGGGGGTTCCAAAGCTTTGGAGCTGAATCGCTCTTGAGTTTTATAAGCAGGTTAGTTTTCCAGAATAGCTTTCACGACAGAGATTCTTCTGCCAGCTGAGGAAAGCTTCTACAAGTCTATGATTCTATGAAACTTCCAAGTCAGTGGATGACTTCATAAACAAGGAGGAAGTCACTGAAGGCCAAAGCAGTGTTTCGCTCTCAGTCTGCAGACTGTCTAATAACTTTCTCTAAATCACATTTCTTTCCCCGTGTGTCTTGTTAACTGCGATCATCTCTTTCCCACAAGGGAGTTCAGGGTGTGTCACTTCCTCTCCTTGGAAAAGAATTTTAACTACTCCGTAAAACTCCTTCTCTCTAGGGAAGGAAAAGTGAAGCCTCTCTGGATTAATATATGGAGAAGTTAAAGAATGGCTCAACAAAATTAAGTTGAAGTATGTCTTGAGCTGGGGTGCGATCGGTTCTGCTTTATGATAAACTTGCTGGATAGGGCTGTTCTTTGAGCCTCATAGCTTAATTTGTACTTATATCCCCATTACGTTTTCACTTTTTGGAAATGCCACTCCATTCTGTTCTGGAAGAACTTTTAACATATAAATAAATAATTGCAATTCATGAGGACCAGAAACTTGATGCTATTGCTGTTGGTTGGCTTTAAAAGAGAGAAACCCATTTCAAGCACAGCTTTGCACAGATTAATAGCATTGAAGTGCCTATAATTGGACCACTGAAAATGAACAACCTTTCTGGGAGCTTTATTAAGGGGGCTGAAGGGGGCTTGATGAAGTTCATTAAGAGAAGATGAGAAGAGCTTTTGAGAATGAGTCTTGACGCACCTTTGCAAGGCTGTTTGCATATTAAACTGGGCAGGTTGCCTTAGTGAAAAGCAGGTATGGAAACCAGGATCCTGATCGATCATTCATTCATTCAGTGACTGTTGCATCTATGGCTGTGTCTCAACATTTGCACATCCTAATCCAAACAGTTCTTTTTTTCTTTTCTTTTCTTTTTTTTGGGGGGGGGGAGCTGGGAGTCTCCAACCTCTCCCATTTCTCATTCTGCTCATGACTTGCTTTCCTGCTGAGTGGCCCATGAATACCCACTTAGGTCTACACACACACACACACACACACACACACACTCCCCCTTCTCGCTGCCTCTTGCCCTATTTTTATTTCCAACATATGTCTGCAACCGGAGGCTAACTAACAATTTCAGTGATGCATGAGGCAGCATAAATACGCCTTTTCAGATGTTATTGTGGGTCCTGGAGGCATAAACATTTATCTCTTGGTGATTCACATGGCATTTGCCATGGCAAGGAGGTGGCTTTTTTGAAATTCCATTATCTTGTCAGCTCCCCCAAAACAGTGAAGAACATGTCAGGGGCTTTTGCTTGTGCCTTTGAATCTTTTTTCCTAAGCAGCACTCTTGCCGATGCTTCCATTACTTCTTAAGCATCTTAACCTTGAACCTGTATCCTTCCAGACACCTAGGAGAGGCTGGGTTTGATACCAGCCCTGCATCTCATGGCCTATTATTTTCCTTGGATGCCTTGGTTATCTTCCCCTTCACTCTATATTTTTATCCTCCCTTTAAAATGCTTTTAATGATGCCTGTTTATTTGCTTCTTGCAAGGTTGCAAGCATCTTTGGAAGCTATTATTTTTGAAGGGTGGAAGGGTTGAGGGCTGAGGAGTTCCACTATGGTTTATTTCAAACCAGGAACACAAGAGGCTGCCTTGTAGCGAATTAGCTATTGCTACCTCCAGGGACGCGGGTGGCACTGTGGGTAAAACCTCAGCGCCTAGGACTTGCCGATCGTCAGGTCGGCGGTTCGAATCCCCGCGGTGGGGTGCGCTCCCGTCGTTCGGTCCCAGCGCCTGCCAACCTAGCAGTTCGAAAGCACCTCTGGGTGCAAGTAGATAAATAGGGACCGCTTACCAGCGGGAAGGTAAACGGCGTTCTGTGTGCTGCGCTGGCTACCAGATGCAGCTTGTCACGATGGCCACGTGACCCGGAAGTGTCTGCGAACAGCGCTAGCTCCCGGCCTATAGAGTGAGATGAGCGTACAACCCTAGAGTCTGGCAAGACTGGCCTGTACGGGCAGGGGTACCTTTACCTTACCTTACCTCCAGCTAAGAATTATGTACATAGTGCCCTCCAGATGCTGTAGGACTACAACTCCCATTATCCTTGACCATTGGGCAGTGCTGGCTGGTGCTTATGGGAGTTGTAGTCCTACATTTGTTGGCTGCCCTTGATCTACACACTCAAGAGCGGCTTAAGACATTTTGTAGAGTTGCTAAATATTCAGAAAAAGCGCAGCCAAAACAATCAAGAGCATGGCCAACGAGGCTGATGGGAGTTGTAGTCCTACAACACCTGGAGGGCATCAGATTGGGGACAACTAGTGCAGTGGATAGTGGCGCACTTGAACCCTCTTCCTCCTTCAGGAAGTTCAACGTGGCACATGGGATTATCCCATATTCATCTCAACAATCCTAGGAGGCAGGTTGGGCTTAGAAATACGTAGTGACTTAGCCCAGTGCCCCCTGCCAACCTTCATGACTGGGCAAGAATTTGTACCCAGATCTTGCTGCTCCAAACCCAGCATAGTTCATTATACCAGGCTTGCTCCTAGCTCACCAACTTGAGGAGCTGTTGGTCATTCTAAGTATGGGGTGATTTCAGAGCCTTCTCCCAAGCAAGGCATTAGCTGGAGTTTTCCTGCTTAAATACAATGTGCTCCCATATATCCCTGTTCCCCCGGCTGGAGGAAGGGAATATCTTTTCCAAGAAGAAAGTATAGGGAGGGAGAGGATATGGTTTGATGTGTTACTACTCGTTATGTCTAAGAATACAGTAATCAGCCCATAAACTGGTTGTTGGATTAACACATAAATATTGCAAATAAACTGAAGGAATAAAATAGGTCTGGACAATTGGCAGAAACAAACACCCCCAGTTGTGTTTTGTTTTGTTTTTTTAAGGTGGTTTCCTGCTGTTCCAGCTCACTGATTTTAAAACATTCCACAAAGTGAAAAGCACAGGAGCAAGTCAGGCAGTTTTCTTGGGTCAGTTGGCAGCACCATGTGGTAGTCTTGCCACAGTCCTGAGCCACTGATGAACGCTGGGGGTATGTGTGTCAAGGGGTGTGTGGGTGCTTATGTGAAAGCACTAAGGCAGTCTTGTCTATGCCATACCTTTGACACACATTTCCTCACACCCAAATAATTTGGGGAACTGTAATTTGTTAAGAGTTGCTGGGAATTATAGTTGCTGTGAGGGGCAAACTACAGTGCCCAGAATTATGCGAGGGAAATAACGTGCCTCAGATGTGTTTTAAAAGTTGTGTGTGTGTGTGTGTGTGTGTGTGTGTACGCAACCTCAGTGTAAGGCCTATACAGTCATATCTCTTGTTATGTTTGCTTCAGGTTACATCTTTTCAGGTTGTGTCCCGCAGCGACCCGGAAGTACCAGAAAGGGTTACTTCCGGGTTTCGCCTCATGCGCAGACGTCACGCGTATGCGCAGAAGCAGCGAATTACGACCCACGCATGTGCAGACGCGGGTTGCATTCCTCCCAGGTTGCGAATAGGGCTCCAGAACGGATCCCGTTTGCAACCAGAGGTACCACTGTAATGCTGTGTGGTGCTCTGGGTTTTGGTTGAGGATATGCAGGAATTCCTCAGCAGTCAAAAGGAGGTAGGAAAAAATCACCTCAAGGTAGAAAGTTTAGGAGGAGGCCAGGTTGGTTCCAGACTGAGCCACCTCCCCTTCCTGCATACACGTTTATCGGGTCTTAGTGGTGCTAACTGTCATTCTGGATTAATCGGCAATCCAAAATAAATACTGTTTAAACTTAATTTTCAATGGGGGTAAGTCTTAAGGATTCTAGGCTTTTGAAACTCCCCGAAACAAGCCTGGGCAGGCAGTCTCCCCCACCGTGAAATGTTAATCCCCAGGCTAAGCACAATGAACTCTCTGTAACTTTTATTCCAAATTAAATTGCTGCTGCAATATCTGAGGCCTATAAGCACCCTAAGGTTTCTTATTGACCTTTTTAAATATATATATTTTAAAAGCTAGATTAGGACCAGCTCTTGGCACACTTTGGGGATGGCGGCTGGATTTCCTAAATCCTTTCCACAAATTACTGTGGCCGACACTTTGATTTAGTAGCATCGTCACATAAGTTGCATTCAAGTGAAAGAGAGAGAGAGAGAAAGAAAGAGAGAGAGATGGGAGGTGCTGGGCAGAACTGGTAGCTCAGCCCTAATTCTACCTGCTTAAATGTCTCACGCAAGATACTTTATTTCAAGGGCTGCATAACTGGTGCTTCTGCAGGTATTGTGGGATACCCAGTTCCAAAAATACCTGCCCATGAGCTGTGCTAGGTTCAGCTGATGGGAGCTAAGAATCCCATAATAGCTGGAGAGCCACAAGTTCCTCACCCCTTCTTTCTTTTCTAACAGCCTTTCCTTGATCCTTTTACTCTTTCGATAGTGTGGTCCAGCCACTACAGTCCAAGGGAAAGCTAAGCTATGGTTTAGCATTATGTCCAAACCATAGTTTAATATCCTTGCTCTCACACTTGGGTGTGTACGCACACCTGTGCTGGGATCATGCTTACAAGGCTAAACCATAGTTAAACTCAAATGTCCAAATGCAGGCAAAAATATAGCAAGCAGTAGTTTGTATACTCCCATCGTTCAGCACCCAAACCATGGTTTGAGCACATATAACAGGCAGATCATGGTTTGGAGCTGCTAGTTTGCCTTTCTTCTCAGCCATTTCTGCATTCAGCATTCAATAATTGGGAGGCAGAGCCATGGCAGGAACACTGGCCTGGCAGAATGTTTGAACAGAACAAAGCACACTTGGCACAGGCCACAGTTTGCCAGCCTACATGGTTTCTGAATCTGGCTTCCCAGCTAACTGCAAGCTGTTCATCTGTTCAGAAATTGCACCAAACTACAGGTAAAGCTTCCTTGAACTATGGTTTCACTGATGTTCTAGAACTGAGCCATGAGACAAGTAACTTATCAGGTCTTGCCAGTGCAAACTGGCAGCTGTGCAGGAACTATGTTCTGTGGGGGCTTTCTGTCTCTGAGTGCTGGGGACAAAGAGGTAAGCCCATCGAAAGGCGTTCAAGAGCATTCATTGAGTGAGGTGCAAATATCATTAGGTGGTTTACGAGTCACCCATTCCCTATCAACCGCATGAAGCTGGACGCAAATGAGAGGATGAATATCTTGAGATAACTGGTGGTGTAATCAAGCGCTGCCCCCAATTTTACTAACACGTTTCTTCCCTTCCATATAGGGTCTGTTCTGGATGTTATTAAGCACATTGTGGCAAAAGGAGAACACAAGAGCGGAGTGCTGGATGAACCCGTGATAGCCACGATCCTGAAGGAGGTGCTGGAAGGACTGGAATACCTGCATAAAAACGGACAAATCCACAGGTGGATCTCTTACTGCATTTATAACTTGCTGTCTTATACCGTGCTTTTTGTGGGATCAACGTGCCTCCCAGTCTGTTCCTTTTGTGTGTGTGAGGCAGGTCACATTTGTTTTCATCTGACATGTTAAGAGCAGTGGCAGAGGCAAACTTCACACACACACACACACACACACACACTTTCTCCAGAACTGCCTTGCAAGCCTGAGTCGGGATTTGAATACAGGACCCAGTGTTCTGGAGTGCCCCTGTGCATTTCACCCACTTTAGCACTTCTGACACATTTTGCGTTTGCTTGTTGTTGGTCTGGAATTAATATCCAGCCATTTACTGCATTCATACACTTCTCATACAAGAGCCAGTGTGGTGTAGTGGTTAAGAGTGGTGGACTCGTAATCTGGTGAACCAGGTTCGCGTCTCCGCTCCTCCACATGCAGCTGCTGGGTGACCTTGGGCCAGTCACACTTCTCTGAAGTCTCTCAGCCCCACTCACCTCACAGAGTGTTTGTTGTGGGGAACGAAGGGAAAGGAGAATGTTAGCTGCTCTGAGACTCCTTCGGGTAGTGATCAAATCCAAACTCTTCTTCTTCTTCCCTCCTGAAGCTTGAAGGCTTCTTTTTATTAATATTGTCTCTGCTTTAAAAAAATAAAATGAAATGCTGAATTGGTCCATCAAGCTCAGCACTGTCTACACTGGCTGGCAGTGGCTCCCCACTTTGCAACAGCCTTTCCCGCCATTGACTACAGCCTGCATTGCAAAATACCGGTAATTCTATGAAATAATGCATTTCTGAAACTCGAAGATGTTTCCACCCTCTCATTTTCCACTGTTCAGGCCATTCTTTGTGATCATTTCTGGATTCCCCCTCTCCCAGCTTTTTGCTTGCTGAGAAGTACTGCCAATTGCATTCACGATTGCCAGGTTCATGTGTGACGTTTTCACTGCACGGGTGCCTCCAGAGACAGCTGTCACCGTATAGAGACTTTTTTTCTTCTTGCGGACCAGCTCCAAACAGACGTTGTTCTTGGGGTGCATCTGCTTGCCTGCTTAGAGGTGGAGCTGAATCGGAAGAGGAGTTTCAAGACTTTGTGGAAGAAATAAGCTCCAAGCAGCTTATCCAAGTTAGCAACTTATCCAAGTTAGCACAATAAAACGATTGTTCGGGGCCTGTGCAGCGGAAGGCCTGAGTCATAGCTCACACCTTTAGCAGAAAAGCAGACCAGTGCCATCAGAGCCATGGCGTGGAGGCAGGACGAATGCCTTTAGTACATCTGACCAAATTTGGCACCCAGCTTATTGGTGGAGTGAGAAGGGAGTGTCTTTCTGGAGTGGAGTCTGCCTTCCCCCTTAGTTATCGTATGTTTTGAGAGGAGACGGTGGGAAGAACAGGTCAAGCTGTTAAAGTAGTGCATTGGCAGGGACCTGACATGTATGTGTGTGAGAGGGAGGGACAGAGAGAGACATTAGACCCTGCAGATGAGTTTTAATTTAAACACTCTCCTTTCTTTTAAAATATAAGTTTATGGAGTAAATGGCTACATGTGGCTTTCTTGTCTTAACATTTTCAAAGATTAAGCCACATTTGCTTTTTTTTTTTTTACCCTTAAAAAATGTACTCGTTTCACTACCCTCCCTCAAGCCTTCAAGGGCAGGAGAAGTCTAAGTTCTACCTACTACAAGCTTAAAGGTGTAGGTGTGTAGGACCCAGTACACTTTATAGCATCTTGCATTAGCTAGTTACTTGCTGGGCCTCCTACAGGGTATTAAGAAAAAGGGGGGTGGATTTGGGTATTTGTTTGCTGTCTTTGAGGGCTACTTGGCCTTCTCAAGGCGGTTCACGTCACAAAGAATAGCATATGACTTTCACAATAAAAGTAATTCAATTTAAAAGAGAACAACAACAAAAACTGCAGCAGCAAATGAAATAATGCGTAAAAGTTCAGTTAAATTTAATCAGTTAAATCTTGCTGGGCCTGTGGGTGTAATTAGGCCTAGTCTGGGTCCAACTGGTCCACCAGGTTGTTTTCCCCAAACCGTGGCCACCTGCCCCTAACCCATCAACAGATTCTGAGTAGGCAAGGACTAGGCACACCCGATCATTCCTTTGCAAGCTGGCTGTCAATTGCAGCCAGCTGATTGGCGCTGTCAGCAAGTGCATCAGGGGCATCTTTAAGGGGGATGGATCACTGTGAGCTCCTTTGAAGTTCACTTTGAGCTATGTAAAGGTATTGGCTGGCTTCATGGTTCCCCCACATTGTGATTTTTGCAGAGCACCCACACCCACACACCCACATGATTCACACTATATTGTCCAGTCAAAAAATTATGAAACCAATATCATGATATGGACTTGAAACTGGTTTTTGGACGATATATCGCCCAGCCCCAAACACATCATGATTCATATTGCCAGGTCAAAAACTATGAAATCAATCACAAATATGGACTTCAAACCGGTTTTGGATGATATATTGATGTATTGCTGAGCCCTAAACAGGATAAGGGAGAATTACCCACCATATGATGCAAGTGACTTCTCTCTTCCTTAACACTGGGCTTCTTGCCATGAGCAACATTTTCCCCAAGCTTCTTTGGCAAGGGTTTAGGGGAGATTTGGCTTGGGAACTTTTGTTTGCTGTGGAAGACAGCCCAGTTGGGAAGCTGCCATTCATGCAGGAAGTTCTAGGTTCAATCCCCCGTATTTCCGGGTAGGACTGGGAAAAACTCACTGCTTGAAACCCCAAAGAGCTGCCGCCAGCCAGTGTAAGCAGTCCTGACCTAGTTGGTCCAAAGGTCTGACTCAGATGAAGGCAGCACCCTATATTCCTGTGTAAAGTGCTGCAGGTGAGCAATCCCTGTTGACCATCCAGGTAATGCACTCTGTACCACCTGCAAACTCCTCCACGGTCTTCAAAGGTTGCCCTGGTGTGCAAGAGGTGTGTTGCACTGTGGTTAATCCCAGAGGCTTTGAAGGCCACGGAGTGTGTCCTGTGACTAAGGAGGCGAAAAAGGAGACCCACTCCCAGGCCTGAGTGACAAGAGGCAGTTGATGTGTTAAATATTTTGCACCACTCCCAATTCTGGACACTTGACTTGCCTTTGCATTTGTTCATGGATTATCATGTGTCCAGTTGCTTGATGGATGATCCTCTATAATCTGTAACCAAAGCAAATGGGAGAGCTGCTGGGAAGTTACTGGGCAGAGTTTGAAACTTAAGCCCTTTCAGGTGGTGCTGCTTTTTCTTTTTTTAAATAGCTTTCTGACAAGCCAGTCATGGTTAGCTTAACTGGATGGAAGTTCTTGTTCTTCTCTCTCTCTCTCTCTCTCTCTCTCTCTCTCTCTCTCTCTCATTCTCTCTGTCTCTCTCTCCTGGATGCCTTTGAGCTTATGATCAGCCCTTGTGTAACCGAATATTTTGACAAGCTTGGAGAGGAAGCAATAATACTGTGTGTGTTGTTTTTGTTTTTCAAAAAATGCATCTTAGCTTCGGGAGGTTTTCCTTTTTGGTATGCCGGATTGTTGGGGCTACACACAGGTGCTCTCTAAAGTCGGTCGACATGGCTGAAATATAAAGCTTTGCTTGGGACATTCTGAAAGCTTACCTGGGTACCATTGAAAGTGAGCAAACGTAGACTCAGGGCCTAAATCTCTTGCAGCAGAGGAGGAAGATCCTGTGGCTGCTCCAGATGTTGTTGGACTCCTGGTGCGGTTGGTTCAATGCAGCATGGCCAATGCCTAGGCACAGCAGAAGCTGTAGCCCAGCAACACCTGGAGGGCCACAGCTCCCTCACCTTGTCCTACAACTGTGTTTTGGTAGCGTGGATCCAGCTGTGCTTGGCGGTGAAACAGCCTCTCCGCTCTAGAAATGGCTCACATGGAGGGACAGTTTCACACATTCCTTGGTGGTGCACCCAGTGTTTGAAATTCGCTAGGTTTCAAGCGCATTTTGCACCTGACTATCAGCCACCTGCGACCAAGTGAACAAGGCCAGGGGCCAGGATGGCGCTGGATGTCTCCGTCACCTGGAGGTGCGTGTCTGGGGATCCTTGGATCTCGCCTGTTTTCACACACCAGCAGCAAACCCTGTCGAATTCTATCTGTGGTATTTTATCTGCACAATCAGAACAAATCTCAGGAACCAAAAATTTGTATTGAAAAATGTGACTTTCAAGCCGCCTGGCCCCAAAATGGCAACTAGGCATTCCATTTTGGTGACTGTAAAAGGTAAAGGTAAAGGTACCCCTGACCATTCGGTTCAGTCATGGACGACTCTGGGGTTGCGCGCTCATCTTGCTCTACAGGCCGAGGGAGCTGGCGTTTGTCCGCAGACAGCTTCCAGGTTAGGTGGCCAGCATGACTAATCCGCTTCTGGCGAATCAGAGCAGCGCACGGAAACGCTGTTTACCTTCCCACTGGAGCAGTACGTATTTATCTACTTGCACTTTGACGTGCTTTCGAACTGCTAGGTGGGCAGGAACTGGGACCGAGCAATAGGAGCTCACCTGTTGCGGGGATTCAAACCACCGACCATCTGATTGGCAAGTCTTAGGCTTTGTTGTTTAGACCACAGCGCCACCCACGCCCCTTGGTGACTGTAACCCTGGTTTAATGAGCCATTTCGGCCACCTTATATCAAGAGTTTCTAACACTGGGCACACCCAGCCCTGGCAATGGGAGATGTAGCCCATCATCAACATCCATGACTGTAGGAGACACACATCTGCAAGCTTGTGTTTTTCTTGCGTTTGTGTTCTTTACCAGCTTATATGCTTCGTTGGAAAGGAATTGGGATTAGGTACGGTTGCTTTGTGCCCTGTTTGGACAGAGGCAGCATATTTCTGCCTAATGGGTGGTGAAGACCACTAGGGATGGCTGCTTCCACCTTGCTCTGCTTTGGAGATTCCAGAGTGGCACAGAGGATGTTGCCTTCCACAGAGTCAGACCAATTAGCCCAGCCAGCTCAGCGGCTTTGCAGGTTTTGGGGCAGGGAGCACTCCCAGCC